AAAAACTATCCAAAAATGCAAAGTAAATGAAATGGTGATCTCAGAGAATAACAAAGCATCATCATTCTTGGACAAACATATTAATGGGAGGCAATGATATCAAACATTGTTAGTGTGTTCAAGATAAGTGTGTTTATTCATATGGGAGTAGCATTGAAACATGTTAGTTATCCATGCAAATGAGGCATTAACAAGTGTGCAGTATCCCTTTCCAAATGACTTCAGGCCTACTAAGACTCGATGAAATGATACTATTTCTGTTAAAAAAATTTGCGCGCTACGAGCACTATTCTTACTGACCCCCTAATATTATTTCCTGGATCCACCACTAGTGATGGTGGTGTAGTTTCTCTACACTTGCAGAGAAAGAGAGGGACAAGAAAAGGCTGAGAGAAAGAAAGAGTATAAGGGTAGAGAGAGGGATGGTAAGGCCAAAGGTTCATCGGAGTTAAGGTGGTGGTCTGGCAGTGTGGATCGCTGGAGGAGCTGGCGGTGGTGACTGATGTATGGCCTTTCGGCCTCTCTGCGTGTACAAAGAAAGAGAATTTTTAGGGGAATATGGATGAGAAAAGAAGAGAGTAAAAAATAAAATTTAAAATTAAAAAGAAAAAGAAAAAGAAAGAGATAAAGAGTTAAATGAGAGAGATGTCCCGAGAGAGTGGGAGACAAGGGGAGAGAATGAGGTGTGGGCCCCACGTGGCACACAATCCAAAGCCACAAAAGGATGGAAATAAAAAATATATCCCGAGACATGAAAATGATTAAATCGCCCTTTATATTAGTAAGTCTGTAAAATTTCCATCGTAGCTCCAAATTTGATTCCATTTGCACCTACGCATACATACCGCCGGGTACTTCTAGAATATGGTAAAATAATAGCTCATACACACGAAATGATGGTCAACGAAAGTCAACAATCTCGCCACTAAGGGCATTTTCGTCAATTCATACTTTTAAAATTAATAAAATCGTAAAATTAGGGATGGGTTGTTACACTCGAGTCAAGTTTTCGTAGTCATGATCATCATTTTTTAATTTAATATCAAGAGTGGAGAATAACAAATGTGTTTTTAATATTTTATTATCAAACCACTTAGTACTACGGTCTAGTGATATTCTTCTTCACTTGTAAGTAAAACGTCTTAGGTTCAATTCTCACCGAAGTCAAATTTGAACCACATTATTGCTAGCTTATTGTGAGGCTTTGCCAAGTCCCCCCTAGTGTAGATAATATTGTTTGTTAAAAAAAAAATATTATCAATCTTCAATATCAATTGAATAGTATCAACATTGTGAATTTTTTTTTGTCATCTGGTAACTAAGAGAACAGTTCTGATAATTTGTCATCAAACTGTTACCGAATTGGGACTATTAACTAAGTTGGTTCTTACATGAATTATTGAATTGCGGTATTTTTGAAATACTTGAAGGTTAAAAACTTGTAGCTTAACTAGTCAAGAGGATCCAACCTCCCCTATCTTTCTTGTATAAAAGAATATTTCACTAGGCTCCTATCTATTGATGGTCTCCCCTGTGAGGAAGGCTTGGGGTTGTCATGTTCAGGGAGGGTGACTAAAGCTTCGCTTCAAGTCTTGTTCTTATCCTTCCCTAACCATGGTTTGTGTTGTTTTTTTACTTGTCTTTATGGCCTCAGTCGTGTGCTGTCTTCGTCTGTTGTATAAATTTTGGAGCTCTTTCTCCTTTTTCAATGAATCTCTTTGACCAAAAAAAAATAAATCACTTGCAAATAGCTTTAAAATAGAATATAGTTTATATAAATATTCATGTATGGTTGGTTGTGACTAGGCCTAGCAAACGGGTCGTGTTTGTCGTGTTCGTGCCGTTTTTGTGTAGCACCTATTATCTTAACGGGTCGTGTCGTGTCACACCCGTTATGACCCTTTTCCTTAAATTTGCACATGCCACACATTGCCACATAAATATTACTTCAAAACATTAAAACACATTTTTTGTTTAAGTACTACATCTACACTTGAAAATAAGAGCTTAATAAACAAAATCCATATACTACTAGTCTATTACAAAATATTAAATGTGCAAGGATATGCAAAATGAAAGAGTTTTTGTTTTCCTGGTTGTGAAGCCTTTTCTCAAAAGTTTAAACCTTACCAATGGAACTCAAAGCTTGCATGTTATTCCTTTTACAAAATCCTCAATTTTCATCGATCATCATGACATAAGATTTTGTGGTATCCACTAGTGTAAATATTTTAAATTGAAGATCAAATTCATTCATTGTATTCATATAGGGTCAAGGAGTGTAGCTGTACAAAATCATCAAAATCAGAGTTAAAATAACCATTAAATCGTGATTTTTCATTGATAACCGTCGAAAAGTTTTGTCCCGTTACTTGATCTCTGAATGTTTGTTTTTTGCAATTTTTGGCGTATGCGATATTGAAGCATATACAAACAAGTTTGACGGTTAGATCGTTGAAATTAGTTTCGTAGAATGCATATCACATCAAAAGGATAGATTCACCAACACTTGGAGATTGAATTCACTAGTGTAAATATTTTAAATTGAAGATTGAATTCATTCATTGTATTCATATAGGGTCAAGGAGTGTAGCTGCAAAAAATTATCAAAATCGGAGTTAAAATAACCGTTAAATCATGATTTTTCGTTGATAACCGTTGAAATGTTTTGTCCCGTTATTTGATCTCTGAATGTTTGTTTTTTGCAACATTTGGCGTATGTGATCTCGAAGTATATACAAACATGTTTGATAGTTGAATCGTTGAAATTAGTTTCGTAGAATGCGTATCCCATCAAAACAATAGATTCACTAACACTTAAGAGTTCATTCATACTTTCATTAATATAACATAAGATTTTGTGGTATCCAATAGTGTAAATATTTTAAATTGAAGATTGAGTTCATTCATTGTATTCATATAGGGTCAAGGAGTGTAGCTGTAAAAAATCATCAAAATCGGAGTTAAAATAACCGTTAAATCGTGATTTTTCGTTGATAACCGTCGAAAAGTTTTGTCCCGTTACTTGATCTCTAAATGTTTGGTTTTTGCGATTTTTTTATGATGCGATCTCGAAGCATATACAAACAAGTTTGATGTTTAGATCGTTGAAAATAGTTTCATACAATTCGTATCTCATCAAGTTCAATGGTATATATATATTTATTAAATACATTTAAATTTATTTATTTTGTACGTATAACACTTAAGAAATTGAATGGTATGTATATTTAAGCCGATCCAATGGTCACCAATTTTTAATATTTAATTTAATATATATATATATATATATATATAATTATTATAGTTTTTAGGGGTATAAAATTGTTAAATTAATATATATATATATATATAGATAATTATTATAGTATTTTTTTAGGGTTATAAAATTATTAAATTAATATTTTGCTTATTGTGTATCGTATTACCCACGTGTATACCCAAACCAACCTGTTATCTTAACAGGTACTTATCGGGTTACCCGATAACGACCCGATTCGTTATCGTGCCGACCCGAACACTTGTTAATTTCACATTGTGTCATGTCGGGTTATCGAGTCGTGTCAAAAATTTTCAGGCCTAGTTGTGACACAGTCGTACAGGGGTTCACAGTTTACCATGGATTACAGCTTGTGAATCTAATTAAATTTCAGATGCCACTTGGCACTACGTGTAGTATCCCACATCGACGACGTGAGGGCTGTCCTTGGGCCTTATATGTATTCGCTCGCATGTACTCTTCAGAGACGCGTTTTGGAGCTGCGGCTTGCAAAAACAAATCCGTGAGTGGGGTCGGACCGGTGCGCCGGGTTCCACCACAAAGCGGACAATATCTCTGCGGAGGAAGGCGTGGTATACTGTTTGGTATCAGAGCCAGACTCACGGCCGTTCGGTGTGCCGACGAGGACGTCGGTCTCCCTAAGGGGGGTGGATTGTAGTATCCCACATCGACGACGTGAGGGCTGTCCTTGGGCCTTATATGTATTCGCTCGCATGTACTCTTCAGAGACGCGTTTTGGAGCTGCGGCTTGCAAAAACAAATCCGTGAGTGGGGTCGGACCGGTGCGCCGGGTTCCACCACAAAGCGGACAATATCTCTGCGGAGGAAGGCGTGGTATACTGTTAAACAGTATACCACGCCTACTGTTAAACAGTATACCACGCCTTCCTCCGCAGAGATATTGTCCGCTTTGTGGTGGAACCCGGCGCACCGGTCCGACCCCACTCACGGATTTGTTTTTGCAAGCCGCAGCTCCAAAACGCGTCTCTGAAGAGTACATGCGAGCGAATACATATAAGGCCCAAGGACAGCCCTCACGTCGTCGATGTGGGATACTACAATCCACCCCCCTTAGGGAGACCGACGTCCTCGTCGGCACACCGAACGGCCGTGAGTCTGGCTCTGATACCAAACAGTATACCACGCCTTCCTCCGCAGAGATATTGTCCGCTTTGTGGTGGAACCCGGCGCACCGGTCCGACCCCACTCACGGATTTGTTTTTGCAAGCCGCAGCTCCAAAACGCGTCTCCGAAGAGTACATGCGAGCGAATACATATAAGGCCCAAGGACAGCCCTCACGTCGTCGATGTGGGATACTACACTACGGCCTAATGACATTCTTCCTTCTTAGTAAGTGACAGGTCTTAGGTTTGATTCTCGTCAAATGCGATTTTGAATCATATTATTGTTAACCCATTGTAAAATTAAGCCCACTCCCTCCTTAGTACAAATAATATTGTTTGTTCTAAAAAAAAAATAAAAAACATATAACATTCGAGCTTCTTCACGGAATTTTATCCCCTGAATTATTTTTGAGCGTGCTCCAAACGCAGCCACGGATTTCAGTTATTAATCGTAAAATAATAACACACATGGCCGTGTTCTAATACGAGAAAATTTATCCTTTTGTCCCGCAATCTCGGTCCCCTTTCCGGTACAAAAGATTGGTGTACATTTCCAGTACGGGTGGCGGGCCATTTGGTTTAAGCAAACGTGACGAGGCTCAATCATGTTTCTTTTAGAAATCATAATCATACAGATCAATCTGCTAATTCCAATTAATTAGCTATGGCGTGTTAAACAGAAAATAACTATTAGCAAGTGGTTGTTCTACGTCTATCTCACAAAATAGTGATTTTTTTTTTTTTTTCGGAATTTAAACGTCTTTGGTTCTGCAAGATCTCTAACAGCATACAGATCAATCTGCATTTGGGTTCTGAAAGTAACCTGAGTACTAGCTCAGCATTCCTGAAAGAAATCTTCCTGCACGTTACAAACAGCTCGCATCGTACTGCTGGCCACGTCAAACAGCTGCAAGTACTCGTCAGAGCCATCGACAAGACACTGCACCATAAACCGGAGCTAAATTAAACTTTGCACAAGATAGGCCTGCCTTAATTTATTAAGGAATCGATTAATCGAACCTAATAAGCTAAATTAAAACCCACAACATATCACATGCCCATGTAATGTAGTTAACCATCTCTTACCTTATCTGGTTCGCCCAATTTCTTGCATATTCTCGCCTTCTGTTCATCTAATATGTCATCTGCCCAAACCACCACCTCAAAAAACTAGAAGCGATCTTATATTACTCTAACTGTATTGCATATGGATGACGACAATCATAATGAATTAATAGATGACTCGATTAAAAAGTGAAAGTAAAACCTGTGAAAGCATTTGAGACTGGATATCCCTCTGCAATTACATTGTTGACTTCCTTTTTTGCCAAGTCAAAGTTATCACCCTGGCACGCAGAGAAAAATGCACCAACAACTTCCTTCGGGACTACCTGAAGAACACAAATTAGATATCAGGACAGAGCAGGGATTTGATGTACAACAACAACAACCCTTGGGATGCCAAACACACTCAATCTTAAGAAGGGCCATTTTATCTTAATGCTCAATAAAACCAAACACAAATTTCCCATTGTACAATCCCACTGTACCAAGTCCCGAATTTAGTAAGACTAACAGAGGGTAATAATAGAAGTCAGAACTTAAATGTTCCACGAGTAATCAGACGCCTCATTTATCTTGCACAATAATGCCCCACACCAAACTTGCTAGTATTTGGCATCACAGGAAAACCAGCTGAGCAGGGATGCAACTTCAAGTATCTTGTGCTCCATTTCCTATTTGTTGCTACATACAGTTGTATGCTATAGCATCAATGTTACCGCCTAACATAGGTAAATATAAAGAAACAAGTAATTATATCTCATCATCAAATTTAACAGTCGTGTTACTTACCCCAGAGACACTAGTCAACTCCTTTGAAGAAATAGAAGATCCAAATAAGCGAGAAGCTGACCGCAATATTTCAAAAGTACAATTTAAAATTCAACAATAACTCAATAAGAGACTCAGCAGGATCCAATGCTAATGCCTAACCAATGTGGACAAGTAACAAGGAAAGGAAACGAAAACAATTTGAAACAGGAAACTTTTGACAAGGTCTAATTTAGATGAATGCAGAAATGGGATAAAAATATTTCATAGTTAGATGTATTAAGTTTAACTGACACTGGCTAACCAAGACTGTTTCATTTAACTACAAGACTTAAGCAGAAAAGAAAAATACCAAAGCATTTTACTTACACCAGGGATACCGTTCAACAATATTCCGCAATATCATCACTCCCAGACACCCAAAAGTACGCATCAAAAGAAATATAAATAGCATCAAATATGGAGAAAGTTGGGTGCTAAAATTTTAAGATGCTTAAAACCCAAAGATTTCCCAACACAACTACAATTAACATCACACTTCAAGAAAATTACTCATCAATTAAGAAGCAAAAAATGTATAAAATACTGAACATACATGCTATCAAAAGACCAACCCATTTAACATACACAGTTATAGCCATGACCGATACTGATGGTGGTTATCTAACAAGTTTTTCAAGATGAAGAAGATGAACAAGAAATGAAGAAAATTTCCATGACTAACCCCCAATTACCTGCAAGAAGGTAAGAGCCCGACGAAGATCACCTTGTGAGGTAGAGCTTAGTGTTGACAGAACCTACAACGTAGACCACATTGTGTATGAGTATGTCAAAAACCCAAAACTGATGCAAAATTCTGATGCGAAATAGATAAGCACACAAATTAAACCCTCTTTTTGTCAAATTGTAGCAAAGATGTAAGTAGGGATCGTTCTAGACCGGGGATTAGGAGGGATTGCTAAACACTTGGAAACTGACTAAAAAAACTCAAAAACAAAGTTTAAAACACTAAACTAGACTCAAAGAATGCAAAACTAAAGGTTAAAACACTTAAACAAACCTTGAAAACTACAAAAAAACCACTTAGAAAACCTAACAAAACTTGGACGAAAAAAACTTGAATCTTAGAAATCTTTCTAACTAATCTAAGACTTCAAAATAAAGGGAATTTGTTTGGGACGAAAATTGAAAACAAAACAGAAACTTAAAACTAAACAGATTGTAAAACGATTTTGGTGAAATAGATGGTTAAAAGGCTAGTTAGGAGGTTCTTCTCCACACATGTTCACACTTGCAAACAAAACGATTTTCAAGTTGTTCTTCCAATGAATTATGAATACTCAACGCCCCAAATTAACCGTGAATTGCACTAATTTTCCCTTAATTAACCCTTAGTTTGCACTTCACCCCAAGTTTTACAAGTTATTAAGTTGGATGATTGCATACGACAACCCAAAACATTCCCTACAAGTTCCCTACATGAATTGCATAATAGAGATACAAGCAAGAATCATTACGTTCTATGAAAAACATAAGCATTGACGAAGCATTCGTTACTATGAATTGCATGAAACTTATGCTAAGAATTCATTCAACGCGATCGTTTTCAAGCGATCTTCACTACTTGTGATTATAAGATTGTAACTATTAGGTGAAACTCCCTCATAATCTAGCATCATATTCATGCATGAAAACTAAGCGTGCACTCTCAATCAACATACACAAATAAGTTATCAATCAAATAGAGAACGAATTGAATCGAATTGAAATAACAAGCAACATCAATGAATCACTCATAATCATGAATCATTCTCACTAAGAACTGCAATTTTATTGAATTGAAACATCGAAGGGATTTTTGGGATGTTTGAATTTTGGATGTTTAGGGGAAGGGAATTGATTTATGGTTTAGGAAGGGAATTATGGATGGTATGGTGGTGCGGCAAGGGTATGGATGGTGGAAGATGGGCTGGCAGAGGTGTGGGGAATAAGGGTTTTGGAATTTCTGATTTGTGGAGAGGGAGAGTGATGATGCGGCTAGGTGTAGAAAATAAATATATATGCACTTAAAACCCTAATGAAATCAGATTGAAACAATGGGCTAGGGTTAAGGTTTGTAAAATAGGGCTTCTAGGATGGAAAGGTGCGGCATTGGGCTTAGGGTAAATAATCAGATTTTTGCATGTGTGAACAAGGCCTAGGTGCGGCTGATTAAGTGGACTAGGGGTTAGGGTTAAGGTGCGGCATAGGTCCAAGAAGTAAGGAATGGGTCATCCAAAAGCCCAAAGCCGAGAATAGAAACTCACAAAAATGGAAACCTCCAAGAATAGAAACTTCCAACTTTAGAAACTTTGGTTGCCAATTCCGATTTAGGAAAGATCAACCCAAAATGGAAACTTTTAGGCTTAGCTTTCCTACTTCAAGTAGGAAACCTCAAATCTTCAACTCTTCAATTCCATCCCAACCTTGTGTTCCAAGCATGTCCTTTTCAATCCAAGCTCACATTTTGCTCCAAAAGCTCCAACTTGCATCATTTCATGTAATATGTCCTTTAAACCTGAAAACACATGAAAGTAGCTTAAAAGACTACTTTAACGAAGAAAACATAACAAAGATGCATAAGAACTAGCTAACTAAGGCGCATAAATATGCTCCTATCAAATTCCCATGTTCAACAGACCACAATATGCAGTTCAAGGCTTCAGTTATGATGTAGATACCTCTGGATCCAGGTTGAGGCCTTCTTCTTGGACAATATGCAATATGCGGCTGATCATGATATCTTCTGAAAGTGGCTTAAACCTGAACTTTGCACATCTCAAAGCAAGTGGCTCCATCATTCATGTAATTTAATGACAGAACCTAAAGACAATTGAAATGAATTCTTATTATTTTACAGAAACAGTTCCTAAAAATTTCATGTTCGCTCAGACGTCTCACGATACTCTTGCAGTTCATGCGAGAGTGAAAATGATCAAGGATTCTAAACCCTTCCAAAACAAACCAACTGTATTTTATCAACCTCACCCCAAATACAAAATAAAGGAAGAAACTGGATTACCAAATATATAAGTGAAATAACCATATAAAAAGGAATTGCATATTGCCTAATTAAATAAATAAAAAAGTTGGGAAGGTGCGCCTGCTGATATAATTGCATATAAAAAAATCGGGTGACTTCGGATTGAGTTTCCATTGTACGTCTTAGGGCATTCTGCATAGCAGAAGGTAAGTGACAAGGGCATTCCTAATACTTCTTAGGCAATGAACGGCCTCATCAAGGATAATGATCTTAAATGGTGGACACGGGTAACCCCTGAAGCATTGAAGAGAGGTTGGTTAGTACCCCTAAAGCATTTAGACATAATACATAAATGGAAATAGAGAATATACGAACTGAAAATGAAAATAATAGTTCTCAGATATGAGAATATACCCTGGACGTTGATTAGTAATTTAGCAACCACAGCAACAGCAACAAAATCTTTGATCTTGGTCCAAACAACATGGATCCACGATCATCACTTGCATTGAGGTCTCACACTCTAGACTTGTAGAGTTCAGGTCCGCAAAATGATTGTGGTTAAAAACAATGAAAATTACATAGTAATGTTTATAATAAATAGGCCTAATTCAATTATTAGTCCCAATGGTGATAGGGTAGTTGGAAGATAGCCCCAGTGGTAAAACAAAACTAGGATTTTAGCCCCTGTGGTGAAATCTGTTAGGATTTAGACCCAAAATTGAAAATTCCATCAACTCTCCATTAATTATTATCACGTGAACCACACATATTAGGCTAAAACGGAACTCTCCATTAATCGTTAGCATGTGGGGCTACATGTGAGGCTAACTTTATATTTTTAGTCTTACATGTGAGCCTTTATGAGCTAACAATTAATGGAGAGTTAACGAAATTTTCAATTTTGGGCCTAAATTCTAACAGACTTCACCACAAGAGCCTACATCCTAATTTTTTTACCACAGGGGTTATCTTCCAACTACCAGATCACCACGGGGACTAATAATCCAATTAAGGCTAATAAATAAAACCAAACACAGAATTTGAACTCCAAGTAAAAATGTGAAACATAGTCCTGTTATTCGTATAGTTCACGATTCCAAATATCATCATTCAGTTTAACTACCCGAAAAGAAATAAAAAACCATGAATCCACATCTAGAGTGATCATAGTCCATCCTAGTACCAGCTAAATCTAGTCTGCCCCAATGAAATCACAATTACTCAACCCTTTTGAAGACTTTGATCTCTAGAGTGGTCATGGTCCATCCAAGTATCAACTAAATCTAGTAAACCCGAAAGAGTATCGCAATCACTCTACCTATTTGAAGAATTTCGAGAATCATGTCATCCCTAAAAAAACAATGCAATTTGGGAAAATAAGTTTTAAAGAGCTGAAAGCACATAAATACACACTCTTTGGAATTTCAAATAAATAATTAAGCGGGCAGGAGGCAAATGCAAAAAGCTGGTGGGTGATGGCGAGAGCGGTGGTGGGTTTTCCGGTGCCCGGAGGACCATAGAAGAGCATGTGAGGACCCTGCCAAAAAAAAAAAACCCAACTCACAGAAATAAACAGATGAAGAAATAGGAGTAAGTGCGTTAGGGTTTTGCAAATTGAAGCTTCATGGATGTTACATTTGAGGTCTCGAAGGTGTTGGTGAGGACTCCGACCACCTCGTCCTGCTGCGCCAAATCTTTCACTTGCCTTGGCCGACTGAATAATTACACAAAATTCAAATTCAAAATACCCCAAAAGCCTTAGATTGGATTATATTGCAGAGAGAGAGAGAGAGAGAGAGAGGGAATCATACTATTTTTCGATCCATGGTTAAGAGCTGTGAACCAGTGGCGCCATGCATGATGTTTTCAGAAAGGGGTTTTGCTTTCCCGCTCTGTAGACGGAGGAGTAACGACAAACGAAACTGTTCTAACTTAAAAATTGATCAACGACAGATTATGATGGATTGTGTTCGGACCCAAATTAAACGGTTGGGTCCTGGCTCCACCGTCCTATTTAAATCGTAAATTGTCGTTGGGTATATGGCTTTCACAGGAATGAACAGTAACGGCCCAAATGATTTGAAAGTGCTTTTTGACATGGCAAAGATGGGCGGCAAGAATGCCCTCTTTCACACTGAAAGGGCTTACTTGATAGGAGCATATTTATACGACTTAGTTAGCTTGTTCTTGTGCATTTATGTTGTTATTTCTTAGTTAGTTTAGTATTTCAAGCCATTTTCGTATGTTTGTAGGTCCAAAGGGCAAAGGAGGTAAAAAAGTGCATTTTAGAGCATTTTGGAGTAGTTTTGGGCTTGGAATGGATATCACATGCTTGGAGTAAGGGAGATGGACAAAATTGAAGACCTAAAGATGCTAAGATTCCTAATTGAAGAAGGATTCCTAATTGAAGATTGATTCCTAGAAGAATGAGGATTCCTGCTTACACAAGGATTCCTACAAGAAGAAGGAATGTTAAGCCAAGGTTTCCTACTTTGGTTTTAACCTTTCCTAATCCTAAAAGTCCCTAAGTTCCAGCAACAAAGAAGACTCCTAATCATATTAAGACACTAAATAAGAATTTCTAGGAGGTCTAAACCCCTTGCCACACCACCTTTCCTTTTCCCCTTCCATTCTCATTCCTTGCCGTGCAAGGGAGAGTCTTCCTTTCCTATTTTCTGCCATAAACCACTTTCCCCTTCTCTAAAAGATTCCTACTGCATATCCCTTAGCCTTTTCTCTTTAATTTATGATTTTTACTCCTTGTGGGACAAAATAGTTAAGTTCTAAACCTTTCCTTTAATTATGCCGCACCCTAGCCTTAATTACCTAGGGTTTTGACATGTTTTGGGAGTAATATAAACCTATGTCGCAGCCTTGGAAAGGGATATCATATCTATCACACACTTCACAACTAGAAACACTCACAAACATCCTTGCCGCAGCCATCAACTAATCCATTCACTACCATACACAATTCCAGCCATTCTCCCATACAAACCACCATTCAAACCTTCTCCCAAACCTTGTGCAGCAACAAAGAGAAGAAGGAGGACCCTTGGATGTGCTTGTCATTCAAGTTGGATTGCTAGAACGTTTTTAGGTGTTTTCAGTCTTTCTTTTCAATGTCTAAATTTATGTATCTTTGTTTTGTGAACATGAGGAGCTAAACCCCTTTTAGCTAGGGGGAAGTTCGAAGCCATGAACATCCTTGAGATATGAATTGATTTCTCCCAATTGTGATTTGATTGTTGTGAATGCAATTCTGATAGGAGCATATTTATGCGACTTAGTTAGCTTGTTCTTGTGCATTTATGTTGTTATTTCTTAGTCAATTATGTATTTTAAGCTATTTTCGTGTGTTTGTAGGTTCAAATAACAAGGTTAGCAACAAAGTGCTATTTGGAGCATTTTGGAGCATTTTTTGGCCAAG